TGACCGTTTCATTAAAACGAAATCAGCTTGATTGAGTATTTAAAAACATTAGGATGTAAGTTTATTTCGATTTAATTATACCTATATTGAATTATTTTATATTATGATTTTTAATTAATACTAAATTATTTTTTTAATAGCAACGAAATTAATACTAAATTATTTTTTTAATTAATAACAATAAAATATGTTTAAATTTTAACTGTTAATCAAATGTGTGTGGTTTTGAACTATCGACCTTCCAAATTTCCCTTTTTAACAATAGAATAAATGTGTGCGGTATTGAACGATGTAAAATGTGCGGTTATGAACGGTAAGTGTGCGGTTTTGATGACCGCCGGTAAAATTGATTAAAAGAAATTTACACAATGCTCGAGCTTCTATACTACCAAAATTACCAGACACTTTTTTGGAATTACATAATATTTTTGACAAAATGGAATTCAAAACAAACAAAAATGAAAATTTTTTGCTAGTAAATAGTAAAGAAACAAATATAGTAGGTTTCTCTACATTAAGCAATTTAAAAGTGCTATGCGATTCTGATACTATATTTGTAGATGGTACATTCAAAAGTTGTCCAAAATTATACCATCAATTATTTACTGTTCACTGTGCAATAAATCAGTCTTATGTTCCACTCGTTTATATTTTATTACCTTCGAAGACTACACAGTGTTATTTACAAGCTTTTCATCATTTAGTTAAAGAGTGCAAAAAAAATGACTTACAATTTAATCCTATTCGGTTATATGCCGATTTTGAAAAGGCTATTCACAATGCTGCAAGACATGTTTGGCCTCCTATTGAAGTAAAAGGGTGTAGGTTTCACCTTGGTCAAAGTTGGTACAGGAAAATACAGCAGCTAGGATTAAGTAATGATTACAAAAGAAATAATACCGATATAAGTAATTTCTTAAAATTATTTTTTGGGCTTCCTTTTTTGAGTTGTGATGTGGTTGAAGATTGTTTTGCGTTTGATATAATGGCATTGCAACCACAAGATAATAGGATAGTACAATTTACCGACTACATATTAGAAACATATATAACCGACGACGCGGAGTTTCCACCACAGATATGGGCTGAATTTGTATCCTCAACGATGCGCACTACAAATAATTGTGAATCATTTCATAAAAAATTAAATAGTTCGTTCAATTCGTCACACCCAAATATATTTAATTTTATTGAAATTTTAAAAAACATGCAATGTGATACGTATATTATATTAAGAAGTCAGGGAACAAAAAGCAAAAAAATGACTGATAAAGAATCATTTATACATGACAAAATGTATGAATTGCAAGCAAAAAATATTACTCAGTTAGACTATGTGCGGGAATTATCTTATAAGTTTTTACCAGTATATTAATTCGAATTTTCATAATACTATTTTTTTCACTATACACATTTTTACTTATTTTTAATTATAAACAAAACAGCAAAACCAATATTTTTAACCATACCAATATGAATACAATTATATTGCCAGTCCTAAGTCTGAAAAATGGGAAGGAAAATATTGATTTTGTAATTTACATAACAATGACAAATATTTAAGTAGGCAAATATATTAAAATATACAAATATAATTGGCCGCAATTTACGTATGTATATAATATACCCGGGCCGCAATTTACGTATGTATATAATGTACCCGGGCCGCAATTTACATAAAAAATTTGAAACGGGACGCAATTTACAGCGACCCAATAATATTATTTTACATAATATTATATATATTTTTTTTTAGTTTTTTGGGAGGGTTTGCCCGGGGTGGGGATGGCGGCACTTCTCTCCGGACACCATGACTTAACCGAAGAAGAATGCCGCCCGTGAACTGAGGTTTGAATCAGCGCTATAATATTAAAATACATGGAAAAGATTATTATTTGCAAATTGATATCGAAACAATAATAGAATATTTTTATCTAATTATTACATTGAAATATATTTTGTGTATTATAATAATCACAAAATTAAATATAATCTGTTATTCATGTTTTTTCTTATGCTTAGTATAAATAATATTTAATATTTATAATATGGTTATATTTTTGGCAGTGTCGGGGTATAGCCCTAGCTGAAGCCCCTACTATTTATTTCGTCCAGTAAAATTCCACCTCTCTCCTAATTCTATTAAATCTCCACCGATGTGTCCTAGAGGTGTATTTAGAAATAAATAATTGGTTGTTTGGAGGGAGTGATGACAAAAAAAATTGTTTACCTTGTATCTTACTCTTTTATTGGGTTTATTAAAATTGGAACTAATTTAAAAAAAAAAAAAACATTAAGAGGAGGAAACACTCACATGCATTGTCACCGATTTATGCATTTGTATAATATAGCAAATTGTACGTTCTGCAGAATATTCCATTCAACTCTATTATGTTTAATATTGAAGATCATTGACCTGTTATCAAAATTAGAAGTATAGGGATATTATCTAGCGAATCGCATAACTTATAAGTTTATTTTATATTATACATTTAAGCTAGTTATGAACATTTAAAAATAGTTAAATGGTTATACACTGGAGACAAGGACTTATAATTATAGTTTTCGCATAAGTCTTATTAGTTATTACTTTAAAGTTTAAACTAACACGAAGAAAAACTTTAAAACAATTTTTTATAAAGTTTTCAACATATTGGATCATCTTCTTAACACGTGTTGTTATTGATATTTACAACTCTGATACATAAGTATATTGTCAGGTTCATTTAATTTATAACTTTGTATACCACAAACCACTTACCACTCATAATTTACCCTTGCTTCTATAATTGTATTTGACAGATTTATTTGGGTCATTGCAATATGTTTGAGTATCTATGGTTCAGCAATACTTGGTTCATCCACTTGGACTCGTTATCAAGAAAACCCAACTGTGATATCCATGGACAGAGAGTACAAGGAATGGGCAACTGCACTTCCAGCAGTCACTTTATGTCCTACAAACAAAATTGATGACGAACTTTTCGAAGAACTCGTACAGAAAAAGTAAGGTTGGATCGAAAATACGAATCATACAATAGAATCAAAAGCCTTAATTAAGACGTGTAAAACTATACTGTAACAGGAATGTCATTCGATGTATATATAGTTCAAAAAGAAAAAAACGTATCTATAATAAAATAAATATTTTAATTTTTAACGATTTTTTCATAGTGAATTAAAGGAAATTATTGAATCGTTTTTACAGAGCACCCATGTGAATTATTAAGGGTTCTAACTTCTAACTGCAGCTTATATACGCATTGCTTGATATTAAGATCAAGAAATCTAACCAATTGGGGTGATAGCTTGGTGAAATACTGAAACTAAATACATCGTTTTGTTTTGTCTTATAATGTTCAAGCCGTTCGAATGATAAAATAATCTAGGTACTTATGAGATAATATTTATTTAGTTTTACAAACTACACAGAAGAGGAAAAAGAAGATTTACGGACGTTTCTGGTGCAGTTGGCAAACGCCACTTACGGGACGTTTAACGAAGTGCCCGCGTACGATCGGATCTCGCCGAATGAGTACTTGCATTATGTCATGTCCCTGAGCGGTGCTATATCGTACACGATCAGTAACAGTCACGTAGAAATATTTTCGTCGATCGAATTGGTGCCCAGTGTAACCGAGTTGGGCTTATGTTATTCGTACAATGGGTACGTTGCCCCTTACAACGATTACAAGTAAGTACCTAAATGTAAATATAATCGGTGCACGCGCAAGTGGGAATTTATGAAAATCTCGAGCGTGATTTGAGAAACATAGGTGGTAATAATTATTTTCTTTCTCAGATATTGGTTAAGACGCAACATCAGCGAGTTCCCGAAAATAGAAATCATGTCCGGCACCCCGTTGGACGGTGACATTTTCGTTCAGATAACGTCCATGAATTTCGGTTACATGGTGATAATAACTTGTTTGAGAGGATTAAGGTCAGAGCAACTGTTTTTTTTCTCTCTCTGGCCCCCACGCAACATAGACAATACGCGATTGGGCAGAATCATTTTTTTTTTATGTTTTTGAGTAATCTTAGAGTAAAATCGCCTATTAGAAAACTGACTGAGAATAATATTTTTGAGGGTATGACTTATCGATTTGTCTAAATATTATCAAAAAACAATTTAAACATCATTTAAATTTACAAAAAAATTTTTTACTTTGAAAGTTGAGACAAGTCAGTATAAGTCAAATATAATAATACAATATAAAATAGGTACATAAAACCCTCAAAAATATTATCTTCTACAATATTATTCTCTATAATTTTTGTAGTAAGTGGTTTTACTCTAAGATAGATAACTCAAAAATCATAAGCAAAGATTTTAGGTGAAAGTATTTTATCTATGTTGTTTCGGAGAATAGTGGACTGTATAAGGAATTAAACTTATTCTACTTAGAAGCCTGGTAAATCAATAAACACGGTGCTTTAAATTTGATTGCCGGATTGACGGCCTACTATTTAAAATAATTACAAAATACTTCTAAAGGGGTAAAAGGGCACAATAAGTGCTGGCCAGCTAATGGGTAACATATTTAAGATAAAAAACATACAATAATAATAAATAAATAAAAATACACAAATTGGTAGAGATAATATATGAATATAAAAACCGTGACGGCGGCTGCAGTCCCGGGTGGCGGGTGACGGTAGACGGTGCGCAGGTGAACAGATGGAGGTAGACGGTGAACGATAAGTGGTGGACGGTAAGCGGTAACGCACTACACAAATTCTGGTGCTCGGTGTCACGGTAACAAAACTATTCTTTTTTCGGTATGTGGTATCTTGGTAAGAATCGGTCGCGGTAGATTTTTGGATCACGGACCCGGTCGCGTCCGTTGTTCGCGGCACAGTAACGCGGGACGGAGAGAGTTGCGAGAGGGAGTATGTATTACGGCGAGTGGCGACTATCGGAACTCGGAAGCCCTATCAAGCCGTGATTACTGTGTGACGACGTCGTCGTCTAAACATACTGCCCCCGTTGAAGGTACCTAGTTACCTTCAAAAGTTAATGGCAAGCGACATAGTTTCACCGCGGGACGTTTTACAATTTTTCCCTCTGCGGTCCGGACGTTGGCAACTCGAACTATTTTATCTTCTCCTGGGAAGACTTCTACCACTCGTGCAGTTCTCCATGTGAGGGGCGGAGTTGGTTCCTTAATAAGCACAAGATCCCCTGGAGCCAGGCTGGTTTCAATTTTGTTCCATTTGGATTTGGTTTGGATAGTATGCAAGTATTCCTGCTGCCAACGTTCCCAAAAATGTTGTTGCAGTTGTTGGACGAGTTTCCAGCGTTGGTGAAGCCCCAGCTTTGGTAGAGTTTTAATTGTATCTGGCGTCGGCATGCTAACGATTGGTTCGAACGTTAAAAAATGTCCAGCGGTTAGTGGTTGTAGGTCGTTAGGATCTGATGACATGGACCCTAATGGACGTGAGTTTAATATTGCCTCAATTCGGTGAAAGACGGTGTTCAACTCTTCGTAGGTCAGAATTTGTTCTTTGATTGTACGATGTAAGAGGGTCTTAGCGGATTTTACTGCTGCCTCCCATAGACCACCCATATGTGGAGCAGCGGGTGGATTCAAATGCCATCTTATCTGGTGGGTCGCAAGACCTCTCTCTACTTCGTCGGACTTAATCAATTTCTGTATTACCTCCAAGTAGTTTTTCGCACCCACAAAATTAGTGCCGCAGTCACTATATATAGCTTCACAGCGACCACGTCGACTAATGAATCTATTAAGTGCTGATAGAAACAGGCACGTGGTTAGATCACTTACAAGTTCGAGGTGAACTGCTCGAGTTGCCATGCAGACAAATATACACAGGTAGCCTTTTGTGGCTTGGATTCGTCGTAACAAAGCGGCCTTTACCCAAAAAGGGCCTGCAAAATCAACTCCTACCTGCGCAAACGCTTTGATACTTGCAACACGAGCTCGAGGCAACGCTCCCATCATAGGGTTCATGGGGTTTGGCTTCGCCTGAAAACAGGGGATGCACTGGTGTAGTCGTTTACGTATGACGCTACGAGCCGATAAGATCCAATAATCCTGGTGTAGAATATTCTGCGTCGTTTGTGGTCCGGGATGACAATGAAGACTATGTACATAGTCGATCAATAAAATGGTTAACTGCGATTGTTTTGGGAGTAGTATCGGGTGTTTTGCCTCATAGGGTAAGTCAGAGTTCTTCAAGCGTCCTCCAACGCGGATGAGATCACTGTCGAGATCCAAGTATGCACCAAGCATGCGAAGTTTTGGTGTACACGGTCGGATTTGCCTAAGACAGTTCCAGTCTTCCGCGAAGTGTATATGCTGGACCCATCGTATTAACGCCTGTAACGCATCTCTCTTTTCTTGGGCACTTGGGCGATTGGTTGGGTATTGCACCCTGGGCGGCCTACCCAATCGTTGACGTAGTCGCAACCAATAAGCTGCTAAACGGAGAACTTTAGAAAGTTCGGATGACGCGTAAAGAATCGCACAATTTTCGTCTAGTTGTGTAGTTGTGGCACTGGTTATTAAGGTTGTTTGAGATATCGTTATATAAAAGCTGCCGTCATTTTTCCCACCGTTACATTGGTCCACCGATACGATACGTTACATTGGTCCCGACGGACCTTATCGGTGATAATATATCGTATATCCACACAGACCAGTTTTTGTTTTCTTCAGTGACAGAACCGCCGACGTAGAACGCTGTCGTCTTTTTGGTGCGTGAATTTTTCTCCGTAGTTGTTCCAGAAGTACCTACCAGCGGGGTAAAATCGTTACCGTTTCCATCGTCACCTGTTACCTGTTTTACCGTCACCTGTCATTCGCATACCATCTACCTGTCAATTTGTTCACCGTCTACCGTCTTCTGTCACCTGCTTACACTTCTACCGTTACCTGCCCACCATCACCCGTTCAACCGGGACTGCAGCCGCCGTCACGGTTCTTATATTTTGTATTATATATGTGTATTATTTTATACTATATTTTTTTTGTGTTAGTCGTAGTTTAAGTAATTTTCCCATTAGCTGGCCAGCACCTTATTGTGCCCTTTTACCATTAGTTTTTTAATTACTGAAATTTGGTTTAAAATAGTAGGCCGCAACCCGGTTATTGAAATTATAACCAATCGCATTATTTTGATACTACTCCGAAGTACCTACCATCATCGTTCAACTACAATACAGTCCACTATTCACCGTAACATTGGTCCATCGAGCCTAGGATATATAATATATTATTCTAAGTGAAAATATTACTAGCGGTCTTTTACCGAAAAATCACCAATATTTCAATATTAACATAAATACAGAGATTTATGTGCACTATAGTAAATATAATAAAAAGTGGGTTATTTGCATTATTATAATTAACGAAGTGTTGCATAGTATAGAATTTGGACTTTGACCGGCAGGCGTACGACGCTGCCGTGACGACCATTATAGCGTAGTAGATAAGAGGTGTCGTCTTCGCAAGAACTAGGTCAAGGTTAAAAAAGTAGCTTATTTCTGGAAAGTTACATACCGTATAACATATACAGGGTGACGCAAATCTCAAATAACAAAAAAAAAAAAAAATATATTTTAACTGCTTTGTTATTTTGGTATATTCTTGGTTGTACCTACTGGCTTGAATTGCGCGTACGTTTTTGTGGAGGGGAATATAGCGTCATGGGTGTTTTTGAAGAAGCAAAAATTCGCCTCTCGGACATTCAGAAACGAATCATGCGAGTACGAGACGCTGGAGATGCGCTAAACAAGATACCGGTCACCAGGTCGGACAAAACCAAGTTTCGAATGATGTATGCCACCGTTCCGCGGATTAAGGAGGAATTCGAGGAACAGCTGTCGGTTGTAATAAAACAACTCGGGAAACCGGAAAAAGACCAAAAGTCCGAAGTAGATATCACTTCACCTGAGGACATTCGTGATAAGTTTGACGAAGTGTATTTTGAAGTGATGATTGCGGCAGATGAGCATATACCAGTTTTACTTCAACATCCGAATGCCGACGAAACCTTTATCAGTACATCTCAAAATCGAGATAGACGCGATGTGATACCACTGGAAAAGCTATCAATACCGAGGTTTGGAGGAGATCCGAAGCAATTTACCAGTTTTAGAAATTTGTTTGACATTGCGGTACACAACAATACTAACCTGCCACCTGTTCTTAAGTTCAGCTATTTAAAAAGTTACCTGGAAGGCGAGCCGTTAGCGCTTATATCCAATTTGATGCTAAGTGACGATAACTACACTCTAGCGCTAACAGTTTTGGACAAACGCTATGCAAACCGTCGGATAATTGCACAGAGTCACTTGAACCAACTTTGGACGATGCCAAAAGCAATGTTCGGTGATGCTAAATCTATCCGCCAGATGCTGAACACGATCACGGAGTCGGTTGGAGCGCTCGCAAACCAAAATTACTCCGTGGATCAATGGGACCCAATCTTGCTACATTTATTTGAATTAAAGTTGGACTCTCAACTTCGTGCTCAATGGGAATTAATAGTAGATACCGCGGATGATCCAAGTATGAACAACTTTACCATGTTCTTATCAAAATTTTGCAATGCTGCTATCGCTGGCCAATCTGGCAAAGAACAGGAAAAACCAAATAAAAAACCATATGGGAAAACTGTCACGTTGCATGCCGGAAAGCCAGACTCACGTGAGAATAGAAGGCAATTCACCTGTCAGGTCTGCAATACAACACCTGGTCACCTGTTGATTGCTTGCACGGTATTCAAAGAGAAAACACCAAAGGATCGGTACCAAATAATTAAAGACCTTAGGCGTTGTTTCTTGTGTTTTAGCGAGCACCCAGTGAGTCAGTGTAAACACACCCGAGTATGTTTGAAATGCAAGGGGCGACATCATTCCCTATTACATTTCGAAAATACCTCAGACGCTCAACCAACGACCATAGTGAATACCACGGAACCCCAACCCACTACCACCGTGAACAGTATGTTTTCATACGACAAGAGGGTCAACTCCTGTGTACTTATGTCTACGATGGCTGTATTAGTACAGGATAGTAGTGGACAATATCAAGAGGCGCGAGCGCTTTTAGACAGCGGCAGTCAAAGCAGTTTCCTCACGGAACATTGTCGTAACAGGTTAGGGGTGACACGGGATAAATGCAGTGTAGCTGTGCAAGCTATGGCCGGCCTACAGGTACCGCCGATAAAAGCACGTACTCAAATTATCATTAGACCCGTACGGCGTGACACGCCTCTCTTCACAGTTGAGACTTTCATACTACCTCGCATCACCGGACTCATTCCGTCTGAACGCGTCGTGAAGACTGAGTGGGCGCATATACAGGGTCTGGACCTAGCCGATCCCCGATATGACGAACCACTACCGATAGACATTCTCCTTGGAGCTGATGTTTTTCCTTATATCATAAGTGGAGATCGACGAGAAGGTACCGTCAATCAACCTGTGGCGCTTAAAACCGTGTTTGGATGGGTGCTCATGGGACGGTCAGCCCCAAATCCGTCAAATAGTACGACTTCACTTTTCGCGTCCATAGACCCCATCGACCAAATACTGCGCAAGTTTTGGGAAATTGAAGAGCTCCCTACGGCGGAAAAGACCAGTCCAGCAGAACAAAAATGCGAAGAGATCTATCGTACCACTACTACTCGACAGGCGGATGGTCGATATATAGTACATCTGCCATTCACCCAGGATCCACCTCCTATTGGGGAATCATACCATCTAGCACACACACGGCTCATACATCTGGAATCTAGGCTTTCAAAATCCACGGAGCATAGACAGGATTATAACGGGGCCATGCAAGATTATTTAGATTCCGGACATATGAATTATGTAGACAACACTGAGGACATTGATAACACATCTTTTTACATACCACACCACGGTGTAGTGAAACCCGGAAGTTCGACTACCAAACTCCGTGTTGTTTACGATGCGTCAGCCCTATCTTCAAATGGAAAATCGCTAAATGATTACTTGTTTATGGGGCCCAAACTTCAACAGGATCTACCAGGAATCATTTTACGTTTTCGTTTGCACGCAGTAGTGTTCACCACCGATATCAAGCAGATGTTCCGGCAGATTTTTGTCACTCCAAAACATAGACCATACCAACGCCTTCTTTTCCGATTCCAGCCCTCGGACCCTGTTCAGACGTACGAAATGTCCACGGTTACATTTGGCCAACGATCATCTCCATTCCTTGCAATTAGAACATTACATCAATTAGCTGAGGATGAAGCCAAAGCATACCCTAATGTGCAAAAGGTCATATATCAAGACCTCTACGTGGACGATGTCGTTACCGGAGCCGACTCGGAAGAAGAGGCTCTCAAACTCCAACAAGAGGTTATAAAAGTATTTGAGCGTGGGAAGTTCGAGCTCCGAAAGTGGTCCAGCAATGCACCCGCATTATTAGAGGCCGTTCCGATTGAACATCGTAAAACCGATAATTTTACCTTCGATGAACCGCAGTCAGATTACACCAAGGTTCTCGGTCTAAAATGGGAACCTAATCTGGATATGTTGTCCTACCAATACCGACCGAATCCCGTGCGTTTTACCAAACGAGCTATTCTTTCGGAGATAGCCCGAATTTATGACCCCATCGGCCTACTCACTCCAGTCATTACCAATCTCAAACGACTGATGAAGTATTTGTGGTCAATTGGGGTGGGGTGGGATGAGAGAATACCTGACGATGCCATCGATGCTTGGACACGTTACCACGAAGAATTGCCACTAATTGGATCTATTCGGATACGGCGTCGAGCAACTACACCTGGAGCTACGTATGAAATCCACGGATTTTGCGATAGCTCAGAAAACGCTTACGCCGCCGCGGTATATCTTTTAGCGCGAGAACCAAATGGCATCAGTCACTGCCAACTGTTAATGGGAAAGTCTAAGGTGGCTCCGGAAAAAAGACTTTCAATTCCACGACTTGAGTTATGTGGGGCGGTATTACTTGCTCGCTGCCTGGAACATATCAGTACCAACCTAAATGCCATTCCAATTGAAGCCACGACTGCATGGTCCGATTCAACCGTAGTCTTGGCTTGGATTCAGACACCTACAGCAAAACTCAAGACGTTTGTGGCAAATCGAGTTGCCAAAATTCAGCACATGACGTCCCCGAAGATTTGGAGACACGTACCTACAGCACATAACCCTGCAGACTGTGCGTCCCGAGGCGTAACCCCAAAAGAGCTAGTGGACCATCAGATTTGGTGGGGCGGTTCAGTATTTCTCACCCAACCAACAAATACCTGGCCTCCGGTGACACCTACCACGTGTCTGGATAAGATGGAACATCAAGTCGAGGAGAAACAGCTTGCTCTTTTAATCACTAAGCCCGTAGAGGAATGTCAACTATTGTATGCATCAGCAGAACTTCCGAAAGTTCTACGTCTCACCGCCTATTGGTTACGATTTAGAAGAAATCTGTCACACCAACCCATCTCCTTTGATCATTCCAAACCACCAGGAGCAAAGGAAAAGGAGGAAGCATTGCACGCCCTAATCCGATGGGTCCAAAAGGTACATTTCGCAGAGGATTTGAAACGTCTCACGTCAGGAGAGCCCTGTACCCATAAACTGCTATTACTTGGAACTTATCTAGATTCGGAAGAGGGTCTTCTCAGGGTGGGCGGTCGCCTCCGGTCCTCTGACCTTCCATATGAGACAAAGCATCCCATCCTGTTACCAAAACAATCTCCATTAACTGTCCTACTCATTGATTACATCCACCGCCTGCATTGTCATCCTGGGGCGCAAACCACCCAAAATATTTTGCACCAAAAGTTTTGGATAATAGCGGCCCGAGGCGCCATTCGTAAACATCTCCGCCAGTGCATACCCTGTTTCCGCACCAGACCAAAACCGATGCAACCGAGCATGGGAGATTTACCCCGACCACGACTAGTCGGAACTAAGGTTTTTACACATGTAGGAGTGGATTTCGCCGGACCGTTTTTGGTAAAGGCTGCCTTACTCCGACGTGTACAGACAACCAAGGGTTATTTATGTATTTTCGTTTGCATGGCCACTCGAGCAGTACACTTAGAGCTGGTAAGTGATTTATCTACAACACTCTTCCTGGCCGCTCTTAACCGCTTCGTCAGTCGCCGTGGTAGATGCACCGATCTGTACAGTGATTGCGGAACTAATTTTGTAGGAGCGAAAAACTACATGGAAGACGTCAAGCGGCTCCTCAGCTCCTCCGAAATAACCGCGGGTATAAGCAATGTGCACATCCAATGGCACCTGAATCCCCCAGCTGCTCCGCATATGGGCGGGCTGTGGGAAGCGGCCGTTAAATCCGCCAAGACCCTGTTACACCGTACAATTCAGGAACAGGTATTGACTTATGAAGAACTGAACACCGTTTTCCACCGCATAGAAGCAATTCTCAATTCACGGCCATTAGGAGCTATGTCGTCAGATCCAAACGATCTTCAAACCCTCACTGCCGGACATTTTCTCACGATGGAACCCCTTGTAACTGTCCCAGTCCCAGATCCACTACACCCGGGACCTAGACTTACGTTACAACAACGATGGACACTTGTGCAACACATACAAAAACATTTCTGGGATCGATGGTCAAAAGAATATCTGCACACAATTTCAGTTCGCTCAAAATGGGGCAAAGACCAATGCAATCTTGAACCTGGGGACCTAGTAATTATAAAAGAGCCGACACCACCTCTTACCTGGAAGACTGCACGGGTGATGGAAGTACACCCAGGAGAGGATAAGATTGTACGCGTTGCTACAGTTCGAACTGCAAATCGAACGGTGATCAAACGTCCGGTGGTAAAATTGTGTCGCTTACCACTCGTATTGTGAAGTCCAGGTGCCTTCAGGTGGGCGGTATGTTTGAGATATCGTTATATAAAAGCTGCCGTCATTTTTCCCACCGTTACATTGGTCCACCGATACGATACGTTACATTGGTCCCGACGGACCTTATCGGTGATAATATATCGTATATCCACACAGACCAGTTTTTGTTTTCTTCAGTGACAGAACCGCCGACGTAGAACGCTGTCGTCTTTTTGGTGCGTGAATTTTTCTCCGTAGTTGTTCCAGAAGTACCTACCAGCGGGGTAAAATCGTTACCGTTTCCATCGTCACCTGTTACCTGTTTTACCGTCACCTGTCATTCGCATACCATCTACCTGTCAATTTGTTCACCGTCTACCGTCTTCTGTCACCTGCTTACACTTCTACCGTTACCTGCCCACCATCACCCGTTCAACCGGGACTGCAGCCGCCGTCACGGTTCTTATATTTTGTATTATATATGTGTATTATTTTATACTATATTTTTTTTGTGTTAGTCGTAGTTTAAGTAATTTTCCCATTAGCTGGCCAGCACCTTATTGTGCCCTTTTACCATTAGTTTTTTAATTACTGAAATTTGGTTTAAAATAGTAGGCCGCAACCCGGTTATTGAAATTATAACCAATCGCATTATTTTGATACTACTCCGAAGTACCTACCATCATCGTTCAACTACAATACAGTCCACTATTCACCGTAACAAAGGTAATCAACTTTTCTTCAGATTGATTCTCGACAAGATCTGTATCTGACATATTTGCCTGTTGTGGCCAAGTATCCAATGGTTGTCGAAGAAATGTCGGACCATTCCACCACAGAGGATGGTCAACAATTTCGCTGGGTGTCAGACCACGTGATGCGCAATCTACGGGGTTCTGTGCCGATGGAACGTACCTCCATATCTTTTGTGAAGTAAGTTCTTGGATTCTCGCAACCCGATTACCGACAAAGGTTTTAAGATTAGCTGATGGGGTATTGATCCAGGCAAGAGTCACCATAGAGTCAGTCCAAGCATAGTACTGGTCAATCGGTAATGACTTCAGATTAGAACGGAGATAATCGATCGTACGTGCTAATAGTAGTGCTCCACAAAGTTCAAGTCGAGGAATCGACAGTTTCTTCTCCGGAGACACTTTAGATTTGCCCATTAATAAGTGAACTTGGATCTGACCGTTAGATGTGCGTGCTAGAAGGTAAGCAGCGGCGGCGTAGGCACTCTCCGAACTATCGCAAAATCCATGGAGTTCGTAGTTGGCATCCTCGACGGTAATCCGCCGGGCCACACACACTGAAGCAATAAAAGGCAACTCATCGTGATATCTTGTCCACGCCTCCTTGGCCACTACTGGCAGATCATCATCCCAACCAATTCTTAGGGCCCATAAATACTTCATCAACCGTTTTAGGTTGGTTATTACCGGCGTCAAAAGACCTATCGGGTCATAGATTCGAGCAATCTCGGACAAAATCGCTCGTTTACTATACCTCACCGGATTAGGTTGATACTGGTACGCTATCGTGTCATTTTTGGGCTCCCACTTTAACCCAAGTACTTTTGTGTAGTCTGATGTTGGCTCATCAAAGGTCACTGCCTCGGTTTGTCGGTGTTCGGGTGGTACAGCTTCAAGCAGAGCAATGGAATTGCTAGACCATTTTCGTAGATCAAAGCCTCCTCGCTTGAACACATTAATTAAATCTTGCTGCAGTCGAAGAGCCGATTCTTCACATTTCGTTCCAGTTGCTACGTCATCCACGTAAAGATCAGTATAGATAACCTTTTGAACTTCTGGATGGTTTGCGGCTTCATCCGCGGCCAATTGGTGTAGGGTTCGAATGGCCAAAAAGGGTGAGGAACGCTGTCCAAACGTTACGGTTGTCATTTCAAACACTTGCACTGGATCTGTAGGCTGAAAACGATATAGAAGTCGCTGATACGCATGGTGTTCGGCAGTGATATCGATTTGGCGAAACATTTGCCTTATATCTGCAGTGAATACTATGGAATGTAATCGGAATCGTACTAAAATCCCCGACAAGTCTTGCTGAAGTTTGGGTCCAGGAAATAGACAATCGTTCAAAGATTTTCCATTGGAAGTAACTGCAGACGCATCATACACTACCCGTACTTTTGTAGTTAAACTCTCGGGCTTAAGGACTACATGGTGTGGAGTATAGTAGGAGTGTGAAGTCATAGTCTCAGTTGAATCAACTGGTTTCATATGACCAGCATCGAGATAGTCTCGCATAGCTACATTATACTGCTGACGGAGTTCCTCAGACTTCTCTAGTCGAATTTCGAGTTTGTGTAACCGCTGCGTGGCCATCGCTCGGGACTCTCCCAGATGTGGTGGGTTTTGTATGAATGGAAGATGCACCACGTATCGACCATCTGGTCTCCTTGCAGTTGTGGTGGTGTATAACTCCTCGCATTTTATGTTTTCGGGGGTCTGATGCTGAATTTTTGGTAGTTCTTCCAGGTCCCAAAAACGACGTAGTGTTGAATCAATCTCCTCCAATGCAGTTACGAATGTGTTGGCTGTCTCTATTGTTGCAGTTCCGGTGTTTCCCATGAGTGTCCATCCAAACACAGTTTCAAGCCCTACCGGCTCCGTCCCTGTACCTTCTCTACGACCACTTCGAGTAACGTAGGGAACGACATCAGCGCCGAGTAAAATGTCTACTGACATTGGCTCGTCATACCTGGGATCTGCCAACTCGAGTCCCTTTAGATGTTTCCATTCGGCTTTCCATACGCGTTTTGATGGTAATAACCCTGTTATCCGAGGAACCACATAAGCATTGATGTTTATTTCAGGAGTACTGCTTCTTACAGGACGCAGGTTTAAATTGACGTGAGACTTAATAGATGCTACCTGCACGTCAGACATCCCTCGAACCACTAAATTACATTTCTGTCGTGCTAAACCTAGTTTCCTTCCACAAACTTCCGTCATGTAACTACTTTCACTTGCGCCGTCTAACAAAGCTCAAAACTCTTGGTAATCACCATTAACATCTTGAACCAGAATAGCTACGGTCGACAAAAGCACACGGCAGCGGTCAGGTCTCTCATTAGCAGCTGAAAGCATGGTCGTGTTTGCGGTCACCGGTTGCTCTTCACTCTCCGTGGTTCTTAAATGTAACAACGAATGGTGGCGTCCGCCACATTCTGAACACACCCTAGTATTACTACATTGAGTTATTCTATGTTCACTAAAACATAAGTAACAGCGGTTCAGCTCTTTTATGATTTGATGTCGGTCCTTAGGTGTCTTCTCTTTGAAGACTGGGCACGCAATTAGCAAGTGTCCAGGCCTCGCTTGGCACACCTGGCACGAATAGTTACTTCCTTTTTCGTACTTTACTTTTCTCACTGTCGTAGTCGGTTTTTGATTTGATTGCACTATATGTAACGCAGTAGTCCTGGTTTGGGAAGTGGGTTTTGACTTTTCCCGCCCTCCTTCAGATTGACTTCCTGCTGATGCTGCATTACAGAACTTAGTTAGGAATGTTATAAATTCGGTAACGCTTGGATCCTCATTGGTGTCTACAAGCAGTTCCCACTGTGCTCGTAGTTGTCCATCCAACTTTTGTTGAAACAGATGCAGTAGTATCGGATCCCATAGATCCGTGGCATACTTTAAATTTTTTAATGCACCAGTTGACTCTGATATATGGTTTAACAATTGTCTAATAGACTTTTCATCATTGAATACTGCCTTTTTCATCTCCCATAGTTGCTTGAAATGACTCTCAGCAATTACACGACGATTTGAATAGCGATTATTCAGTATTTTCAATGCTAAAAAGTAATTGTCGTTACTTAGCATTAAGTTGTTAATCAGATTCAACGGTTCCCCTTCTAAATATGATTTTAAATAAGAGAACTTAACGACCGGTTGAAGAAATAAATTATCATTTACGACCGTATCAAACGTGTTACGAAAACCCATATATTGCTTAGGGTCGCCCGTAAAACGTGGGATGGACAATTTTTCCAAAGGTATAAAGTTATGTGTATTCTTCCTTGAGCTATTAAGATCAATAAATGTCTCATCTGCATTTTGCCCTAAAAGCTTTGCAGGTACGTGTTCGTCGGCCACGATCATGATACTAAAATACGACTCTTCGAATTTTTCACGAAGTTCATCGGGTGAGCATACTTTGTCTTCCGGTTTTTGCTCTTTGTCAGGTTTTCCGAGTTGCTTGATAATAACTGACATTTGAACTTCGAACTCCTCTTGCAAACGTTGGACGGTAGCATACATCATCCGGAACTTTGTTAATGAAGTCTTATTGGTCGGTTCATTTTCTAATGCAACTCCAGCTGCACGTACCCTATTGATTCGGTTTTGAATGTCATTAAGACGAATCTTCGCCTCTTCATAAACCCCCATGGTAACGAATTAGTTTGATTTATACGGTTTAGATCTACAGTGTTAGATTATACCGAAAACCCCTTTTTTTTTTTTTTTTTTTTTTTTTAATCACGGTGTATAGGTACGGTTCATTTACGGTGTATACGGTACCGAATATATTATTACACACAATTGCCTACTTACGTTACTAATATATTGCTTATGAACTTGACCTTATTATTAATTGCGATCACTGATTATAATAGCATGTATGTATTCTAAATATTTTTAATCATTATCATCGGGTCAAAGTCCATCCGCAGTTCGGTTCACACAGATTATTTTTTTTTTTTTTTTTTACTCGGTAATTGGTTATCGTGTTACGTAATAATTTAATAACACCAACACCTATTATTTCTCAAATAATCCGTATAATTTTATATTGTAGTATTAAACTAATCATTAGGTTTCTCTTTCGAATTTTCACGGTAAGTGGTAATCACTTAGAATATAATAATATCCTAGGCCGAACGGACCAAATGTTTCGGAGAATAGTGGACTGTATAAGGAATTTAAATTGTTCTACTTAGAAGCCTGGTAAATCAATAAACACGGTGCTTTAAATTTGATTGCCGGATTGACGGCCTACTATTTAAAATAATTACAAAATACTTCTAAAGGGGTAAAAGGGCACAATAAGTGCTGGCCAGCTAATGGGTAACATATTTAAGATAAAAAACATACAATAATAATAAATAAATAAAAATACACAAATTGGTAGAGATAATATATGAATATAAAACCGTGACGGCGGCTGCAGTCCCGGGTGGCGGGTGACGGTAGACGGTGCGCAGGTGAACAGATGGAGGTAGACGGTGAACGATAAGTGGTGGACGGTAAGCGGTAACGCACTACACAAATTCTGGTGCTCGGTGTCACGGTAACAAAACTATTCTTTTTTCGGTATGTGGTATCTTGGTAAGAATCGGTCGCGGTAGATTTTTGGATCACGGACCCGGTCGCGTCCGTTGTTCGCGGCACAGTAACGCGGGACGGAGAGAGTTGCGAGAGGGAGTATGTATTACGGCGAGTGGCGACTATCGGAACTCGGAAGCCCTATCAAGCCGTGATTACTGTGTGACGACGTCGTCGTCTAAACATATGTAATAGATAGAGAAAACAAATATTGCTCTGATATCCTCTTATTAAATATTGTTTTTTTCTGTCGAGATGATCGGTAATCATCATTGGCATAATAATTAATATAATATTACATCGTGATGTGTTATATGCATACGCATGTTAGGGATTTGTGCACTCCCCCTACGAAGTACCCGACGTGGCGTGCCGCATTTTCCCGTCACCAGAGAATTTCTACAAAACGCTGGACGTGACTGCGCTGAGCATTTTCAGTACTCCGGAAATCAAATACCTCTCGCCCAAGCAGAGGGGCTGCAGGTTCTTGGACGAGAGTGAGTTGGAGATAAGTCAGATTTATACGTACAACATATGCCGGAACCAGTGTCGAATGGACCAAGCGAGAAAACTGTGCGGATGTGTTCCGTACTTTTACAAGCCACTTAGTGAGTGTCTTTGCTGCAGTCGTATATTACTTGTTATTTCGCATAAAATATAATATAGGTATTTAAAATAAATTGATAAAATCGCATTGAAAGCGTGGAGGTATTGACAAGACTTCAAGTACTGGGTGGGGGTGAATTTAGTATTATGACCATGACGGTAATTCGTGGGAGCCTCCAGCCATCACCCATCATAACACCCCCACGATATCTAAATAAAATAATTATTTTTATGCGTTGTTATTCGATTTCCGGGTCCAAAATATTTTATGGGGAAGGCCAATAATGCCTATATATATTACTAATTATTATTATCTTTTTGCGATTTCCCTAATCGTTATATTATATGGATCGCATTACCACACTATTGCAGGCATCATAAGATTCTGGTAAGCGCAATATACTGTAACTCAATATAAGATTATGTAAAGGTATATCAAAATAATCATAAGGCATTCTCTGATCTGGATATATCCTATACATAGAATTAAAAAAAAGAGCCCAATCTATTATTGTTTTCTACATTAAACCTTAAATAACAAGATAGCATTTCGATATAAGATATAATCATTCAATAATAATGAACTTTAATTTCAGAAAAATATAAAATATGCGATGTCAAAGGGATGCATTGTTTAGATCAACATAAAGGTAAATTTAACTACAACATTATATTGGTTTTGCGTATAAAATATGATGAAAATATCTTTTACTGATTTTTTCAGAGTTTCTTATAAAACTCCGGAATACAACAGGTGCTGAGGAAAAAGTAAACTGTGGTTGTTACCCACCTTGTGACGATGTTAATTATATCGTAGAAGGAGACAACACAATTCAATGGTAATAAAATATTCAAGTACCTAATTACTAATAAGTAGTATAATGAATAAACAACTACAATCCAAAATTAAGGGGCCTCGCTACGGTCATTATTTAAGGGGCAACATTTAGACAATAATTTCTAATTTTGTCATAGCCGCCCGGGATCCAGTGTTGGGAAATATCTAGATAAATTTATCTAGATAAAAATTATTTATCTTTTCTCTTATCTAGATAAATTTCTACTCAGTTATCTTTATCTTCATCTAGATAAAATTCTAGTTATCTATGAGTACTTATCTAGATAATTTATTTAAATAAACTAAAAAAAAATTTGAAAATTTAAAATATTTTTTTTTTTCAACTAGTACATAGAAAACACGTTTAATAATACGTATTATAATACCATGATTTTAATATTTATTAATATTCATTGTTAGTCAGGAGTTTTACATCGTAAACAATGATTGTAAGAACAACTAATAATAGCAAAAACAAAAATATCTATCCCTGCTACCCACCGGCCACCACCGAATGATGATGGTCTCATTAGCTGATACCCTTTTCATAGAATTGTGTACAAAGTATGAAAAATAATTATTGTTTTAAGCCGACAAAAATAAACCAACATTCATGGATATTGGACTCACAAGCATAATAATATAATATCATTATTATTTATAACAATTTAATATTTATAAAACCCTATTAGAATTCCTGGTATTTTAGTTATCGCTTAACCGATCTGTAAGATCTCTGTCCTCTGCTGTAGGCGCAATAAAATAAACAGTATACAAAAATTAATAAGTATATATTTTGTGACTATTATTGACTAATTTTCTCACTTCTCAGTGTGTATCGTGTGAGTTGTGACCTGTGTTTCGTCGTCGGTAAAATTTATTGTAGAACTACATACAGTTACGATTATTATTTTTTATTTTTTTCATTTAATTATTTTATTCATGAAACAGTTTGTCCAAGTTTCAAATGCTGGCCCGTCCAAGATCCTAAAAAAAGATGATTCAAGTACTCAAACCACTGAATCAACCAACCACCTGATAAATACTTCTAAACTGAAATATTTATTTGATGGATTTTAGATTCTGAGTGAAACGATGAATGTATTGATTTTACAATGATGTGTGTTTTTTTTCTTTATTTTTTTTTTTATATTTAATTTTTTAATTTTTTTGTGTCTGTCATCACGTTTTAGGACAGTAAAAGTGCTTGAATTTTCTTCAACAGTAGCTTTTCTGATAGGAAAGTGAATCTAGTTGGTACTTTGGGGGGGGGGGGGTCAAAAGTAAAAATTTCCTAGTAGTTTTCACAAGCGCCAGGAAAAACAACATAAAAATTAAGGAAAAACGGGTATTTTTACGCAAACTCGGTTTTCCAAAAAATAGATTTTGGTTTTTGGTGTAACTCTAAAAGAAATGAACGTATATACATGAAATTTTCACTGGTTGTTTATATTTGCATTTTCTATACACGATAACATTTTCAAAATATTTTGATTTATTTTGAACTGTTTAGGGACATTTTAATTTTCCATTTGTTTTTAGTTTTATTTCTAAAAATATCAATAAAATTCTATTTGTTGGTTGCGAAAGCTTGAAAATTTAATAGAAGGCTCCTAGTATATTTTTTCAAAGGCAGATGAAAAATATTAAAAATACTTAGTCACAGTTTTTTTTATAAGCATTTAAAGTCTAAAAATTGACAAAATATAGAAAAATCACGAAAATTAGCAAATTATTTTGAGTTAAGAATTCGTAAAAATTTTTCTTTTTAAATCTAAGATTTTAAAATGTGATACAAAATTCCTTATAAGATTATCTACCTTTATCAAAAAAAAAAGGTCTATAAGAAAGTCAAATTAAATTTTTATGAGCGTTTGAAATTAAAATTTTTACAACATTGGATATTCACTCGATTTCTCATGTAGCGATTTCTTTATTTTGTTGTAATTCAAAAACGAATAACTGTAGATACATGCAAATTTCACTGAATGTTACAATTTTGAAAATATTTTGACTCTTTTTGAGCTGTTTACGGACATTTACAGCTTTCAGTTTTTTTTCTTTTTTTTTCTTTTAATATCAATCAAGTTTTATCTTTTGGGCCAAAAAGTGTAAACATTTAATACAAGGCTCCTGATATATTGTTACAATAGCAATTGAAAAATATTAAAAATACATAGGCACAATTTTTTTTTATAAGCATTTAAAGATCGAATTTTGACAAAATTTATCAAAATTAATCGAAAATTATCAATCATTGTTATTAATAAATTATAAAATGTTCAATTTTTATAGCTAAGGATTACAAATTTAAAACAAAGGTTCTCATAAATAGTTCATACTGTAACCAAAAAATCTAAAAAATATATGAACACAGTTATTTTTTACAGACATTTTAAATTCAAATTTGGACGAAATTACATAATAAAAAACCTAGAATAACTATTTTAGTTATTTTGTTGTGATTGTATAATATTATTCGTGGGTACTTGAAACATCTAAAGTATACTACTATATATCTATGATAGTATCAGGGTTTGTTGTTGGTGTATAATGCGTTATAAGTACCTAATGGATATTGTTATATGATTAATTTGGAATTTATTATAGGTAGGTACCT